TTTAATTTCCAACAATTGTCAAGTAAAGGGTTGCCTGGTGAGATCTGTCTGGGACGTGATGGTCGCGCTTTTAAATGGACCTTCCCATGCGGACTCTGACAAGTTATGGTCGCCAGTGATGAAAGACATTCAGACCTGGATTTCCAGCGGCAGATCAGATCTGGAGAGCGTGGCGATCATCTATGAGAGCGTGGCGCCCCGGTTCGCAGCTTCTGAAGGTGCGGGCTCAGGTCTGTCGCTGCTGGAGTGCGGCGTCCGGGTCTGTCGCTGCTGGAGTGCGGCGTCCGGGTCTGTCGCTGCTGGAGTGCGGCGCCCGGGTCTGTCGCTGCTGGGGTGCGGGCTCAGGTCTGTCGCTGCTGGAGTGCGGCGTCCGGGTCTGTCGCTGCTGGAGTGCTGGGCTCAGGTCTGTCGCTGCTGGAGTACGGCGTTCGGGTCTGTCGCTGCTGGAGTGCGGCGTCCGTGTCTGTCGCTGCTTGAGTGCGGCGCCCGGGTCTGTCGCTGCTGGAGTACGGTGCCCTGGTTTGTCCGCTGCTGAGTGCAGAGCCCGGTCTGTCGCTGCTGGAAGTGGTGGCGTCCGGGTCTGTCGCTGCTGGAGTACGGGGTCCTGGTCTGTCGCTGCTGAGTGCAGCGCCCGGGTCTGTCGCTGTTGGAATACGGCGCCCGGGTCTGTCGCTGCTGGAGTGCGGAGCCCGGGTCTATCGCTGCTGGAGTGCGGCGCCCGGGTCTGCCGCTGCTGGAGTGTGGCGCACGGGTCTGTCGCTGCTGGAGTGCGGAGCCCGGGTCTGTCGCTGCTGGAGTGCTGCGTCCGGGTCTGTCGCTGCTGGAGTGCGGAGTCCGGGTCTGTCGCTGCTGGAGTGCAGCGTCCGGGTCTGTCGCTGCTGGAGTGCGGAGCCCGGGTCTGTCGCTGCTGGAGTGCGGCGCCCGGGTCTGTCGCTGCTGGAGTGCGGAGCCCGGGTCTGTCGCTGCTGGAGTGCGACGCCCGGGTCTGAGGCTGCCAGGTTGCGGCGCCCGGGTCGGAGAGTGCAGCAGTCAGGTCTTCAGACATCGGCTCTGGGAAAGGAGAGTGCGGCAGGTACCAAAGCCTTCCGCTGTCTGCTGCCCGGGTCTGGATGTCTGCCACATGGATCGGTCGTTGTTGAAGAAGAAGAGCTTGATACCAAGATCCCCCGAGAATCGTTGGTTACCACTCGATCACCGGACCTGCCTGGCTGCTTAGTGAAGTCCGAACTCTCCGAGCTACTCAGAGAGGAACCTGTTATACGGCCACGGCCGCGACGTGCCTGGCCGCCGGCGGCCTGCGGCCTGTGCGGCCGACCGGTTTGCCGTACCTGACTTGGGCCGGTGGCTGGATCGACTCATCTGATCGCAGCGCACGGCGCCTTGCAGCTACGCAGCACTTCACAGGCAGACGGCCGCTCGCCCGCCCAAGGCCGCTGGCTGCCGCCGACGTGGCGGCGGCCCACCAGGCGGTCACTGACGTATGGCAGCGGACGTTGCACGCCATAAGACGGCAGCAGAGTTCAGGCCTAGTCAGAACCGAGTGGCACGACGCAAGCGCTGGCTAGCTCAGGCACCTCTGGGCCAGACAGCGCGTCCTCGTGCAGGACCCCGAGACAGGTCTGCCTGGCGCCGATGGCTGGCGGGGGAGACGTCACGGTCGTAGACAGGGGATGAGACTGCCCGCGGGTGCATGTGCTGGGGCAACCGGCGGTATCTACTGCCTTCGACGGCTCGTGCCGGTTTCGCAGAGTGGCAGCAACGGGTGAGACAGCAGTGATGACGACTGCCTCATCGCAGGCGGTATCTCCTGCCTTCGACGACTCGTGACGGCCTCGCAGAACGTCGTCAGCGGAAGTGGCGACAACATCAGCGATGGTGGCAGCCGCGACGACGATGGTTGAGGTGGCGCTGGATATGCGATCAGCACATGTCACGCCGCACAATCCTACGTCCGTTAAAGACGCGGGTGTAGCCCAGCGCGTCCGTCGGCTGAGATATTGACCGCCCACGAGTCATCCGTTGCGGGCCGCGCTTTTTTAAGGACCCCACGGGAGCCACGACTAACCGAAAGCCGTAGAAATCTAGCCATGTTTGAGACATAGAAACATGTCGTGAAATACTGTGGCGACAGAATATTTCAGAATGTGACTTGCATATTGTGAGCATGCACCTTTAAAAATGAAATGGCGACACATGACGCATGACTATGATTATGTCGATGCTGCATAGGTGCAGCTAGAATTCTCTTAAGGGAGGAGCGGAACCCGGCGAATAGGCATCATGCCGATCTTGTACTTCCTGTCCGGAGAGACACCTGTGACGAAAAAAATGCTGGCATGGAGAGGTGCCTGCCTCTCTTGACTGCGCCCTTGCTATGCTGCCTACCCACATATGGTAACCTAGCGCCAACAGACCCGCGCAATGACTGCGTGGAGTTCCGTGGGAAAGGGGAAACCAGTATCGGTCACCCGACCGTCAAGCCTATTCTGTGTGGAGTTTTAGACTAAGACTAAGGCTTTTGTATGACCTGCGCTATCGTGGCTGATCATACACTGAGCAAAGTTTCAGGCGCCTTAACAGATTGCCTCATGGAGGATGGAATTCCATAAACTTTTGTTAGAAAGGTGAATCCCAAAATGCTTATATAGCGATTAACGCTTACACGTAGCAAATGCATTGATGCAATTACAGCATCTTACCTTCAGAGTCCAGCCTTTCGTATGCGCCGCGCCAACAGCCACGAAGCACGCATGCCGTCCGTCGGGCTGTGTGCAGTTACGAAGCACGCACGCATGCTGGCCAGCCGCTGACCTGGTGCTGACCTGAACACTAGAACTCGGAGGCTTCAAGAGGGCTTTCCTTCCGCCTGGTCTAGTCCCACAGACTACTCTCATTTGTTATGCTAATCTTAGTATTATTTTTGGGTGCCTATGCTGTGAAACGAAGTTTTCTGTTTACCTCAGATACTCCCAGATACGTCATAAATGATAAACGTATCGAAGTGTTATATACCGAGTATTCCTTAGTACGTCATTGTTTGCTTGCATTATAATAAGTCCTTTATAACGTCAGAGTCGTTGCGAGACTGGTCGTGTCATAACTGCCATTACCGAGGGCGCCTGACTCACTTGCAGCACCATAACTTGTCACCAGATCGCTTTTTAGTTGTGTGCGAAAAACCTATCATGATTATATGAGTACGTTTTGTATAATTTTCCGCGATGGCATGTTTCTTGCATCTGTCCCCTCGACGTCCGTCTTAGGGTATGAATATATGTCTTAACTACACCTACCAGAACGACCGTTTTAAGCATTCGTAATCTCTGGTGACCTCACGTTTGGCCGAAAGTGAAACATTTGGTGTACATTCTCCATGATTTGACGCGATCTTCACAACGATACCTTTGTTCTTCTCGTGCAACGTCTGGAAGTTCGGGATCACAGGCGAAGTCAACGCCTGGCCGGTCGCGGTAGTCTCAGGCCCCCGGCTGGGCGTCGGTTAGCGAGCCTAGGCATCATGCGTACATGATCAAAACACATCACAGTACACACCATTTCACTCAGAATTCACAAAGAAATATGCTTTTAAGGCTTCGTAGCGCTGCGGGGCATGGTCTCGTACATATCAGTAGTTGAACCAGAAAAATTCGATTCTCAGAAAAATTTGGCCTTTAACCTGGCATCATGGAAGGAATTCTTGACCCAACCAAAAAATCACTGATCGATTTGTCTTGCTGTTGAGAACAAACCAATGGCGTTCTCTCCTAGATTCTATCTTTCTTAGTTTGAAACGACGGCAGGTTCGCATCGACCCCTGCCCCCATCCATCCGTGTTTTAAAAAAATGGCAAATCAGGGCAAGCATTTACCACTGGCGTTCTGTCTTTCAAATTGCCGGCCATTTTCACGTGCACCGAGTACGCCCGCAATAAACTAACACCTCAGGTGCTTTGCCGCGAGTAGTATCACTAACGCTGTGACATACTGTGGTGCATTCTGGACAAGCTCCAACACAAACGCACATGAGGTTTGTTGTGCGCTGAGCGGGCATTCCATGGGTACCACTGGACTCGTACCGGCGCCAGGTCGCCGACCTGCGGCAATCGCAGCGCAGAAACAGGCGCAGCACGCAGCCGCCGAAGGTAATACTCTAGCGCCCCCTCCCCCCCCCCCCCGTTGAGCTCCCAACCCCCCAAATTTGGGACGTGAGTGAACCAAATACGTGGCACACGGGGTTAGTTGAAGGTTTTGTTTCAATGCTCAACCCTTCTGCCCCAAAAACATTTTGTGAAACTACACACCAAGTCTGTGAAGGTTTGTTTTGATGAGCCATTTGGGAGTCACTGAGTGCAATTTTATCCCTTGTCTCTTCTTCTCTCTTCCATCACCATAATTTAACGCCTCGTATGTCAGAATTAATTGGGCTTAAGGCTTTTAGGCTGATTCCCGAAACTACACGCGTCGAATATATCGGCCACCATGGTTCGTCTTGGGAGTAATGGTTTTGTAATTGACTGAAACAGATTATCGATGCTCGCCGCGCGATGGCCCATTCAGCCCACTCTAGGAAATCGTAAATTGTACCCACGCAGACGCTCGACACATCATCATTTGATGGGAATAAATGGATGCGATGATGTCGTTTCCATGACACTTCTTTGGGTAGTCATGTCGTATTCTTGAAGAATGCTGTCTTTCTAAGACTTGACTCGTAGTCGGGCCTTTTTATAAACTTAGGTCATTCATCAACGGAATACACAAATAGCTGATGACACTAGAAGAAAGTTCATACAATGTGGTGCAATTTTCCCCTTCCCACCGTCTGGGTAACAGCACGGCGAGGTAGTCAAGAGGCCCCGGCAGGGTGTGAGTTAAATGCCAGCAAACACAGCAGGCCACCTGTTTAAACTGCTTTCTCACTACTGCTGTTGTCGTTAGGTTAGGTTAGTTAGTTAGGTGAGGTGAGCCACGAGTTCTTGACCTTAAACCCGCCCATTTCAGTCGCCTTCGGTGGTGATGACAGGGGCAAGTCATGCAATGATCCGGAGAACAATCCGGGAGTGTGCGGCTTCTTGAACGAGTGTCCAGCACTGCAAGAGGCACTCAGAAACAGGAACATCCCCCTCCTGCGCAAGGCGCTGTGCGGCACGGCTGGAACAACCAAACTGGTGGTAGGTCTGCCTTTGATCCGAACGGTATGAGCTGGTTTGTGTGCCAAATGGTAAAGATGTAAACACCGCAAACTTCCGTGCTCGCGAGTACCGTTCACACCTCGGCTGTACTTGTGACCTTTGGACGGACATCTCACCTCCTCAATCGCATGCACCGAACAAAAAAGATCTGCTACGATGTGTGTGGCGATGTGTGTGCCGCACATCCCTTCGTAGAAGAAGTAAAGAAGCCCAGCGTTCACCAATCTTTTGTAGGCTTATTTTCCCCAACAGACAGATTGCATTGTACTTTCTCCCTTAAAAAAGCGTAAGGTTTAATTAATATCAGCCATGCGTTATCTCTTATTGTGAGCAAGCTCATATCAACGGCTGGCAGATTGACAGGAGTGTTCTACACAGAGATCGCATTCGGACAGGTTAATAGAAGTGTTCTACACAGAGGTCGCATTCGGGCAGGTTAATAGAAGTGTTCTCCATAGAGATTTAATTCGGACAAAATTAGTTAGATCGCGTAATTGATATCTCGATTTCTTGCTGGCGTCCGAATGCTTCATGTCAGTGGCACACTGACCCGATGTCGGCTATTTTACGAAATATGTCCAGCTCAGGGTATGTTGCACCATTACCTTTCAGTCATGCTGCTGGCGGCGTCTGGACGGATATCTTCCTCAACTCAGACATGATTTAGCCACACCTCTTGAGAGTAAGCATCCGCCCCCCCCCCCCCCCCCACCCAGCCGTCAAGGAACGCCTGACCTAGCCCACTAAAGAACATATATGAAATACCTACATATACTTTTTTAGCCAAAGAAGACTAATCAAAATTTACTTAGAAAACGTGCCGGCGTGGGGCTGTCACTTGGTTTTTTAAGATAAGCCAATTTAGTTAATTGCAAGCCTTCAAAGAATGACCAAAATGGAAACGGTGGAATTGCGCCGTCAACTTAAACTGCTGCAAAACCAAGTAAACAGCCAAGAAGAAATGCTTGACTGTCTGACAACGCAATTAGCCGAAATGATCATCGTGTTTAAGGACATACAGGCAGAAAAGAAGAAAAAGATGGTTGATGGCCCAGACGCAGGACTGAAAGACCTTCAGTTTGCTGTAAAACAAATGGACAACGATCTTGACTTTCTGAAACGGCAACACAGAAATTGTGAAGCCCAAACAAAAACCACTCATGAACTGGGAGTTTTATGCGGAGCCGCTACGGTAGCTGCTGGGAGTAAGCTAGATGCTGAAATGCAGGCAAGACATGCAAGGATGAATTTAGGCAATGCAGGTACACCAAAGCGCGGCAATGGACCGCATGTCGCCAGAAAACTAGAAATGATCTCCGCCGTGGAACTCGAATCAAGGGAAAACGAAGGTGAAAAAACGAGGGAGGCACAAGAACATGCAAGAAGGAAAGGAGCGGCATCTCAGTTACTGAAGAAGCGGAACCAAGCAGCCAACTTACCCGAGGTACTTATGGAGAAGAAAACAACGAAGGGCGTCGACTAAACGAAAAGAGGGTTAGTGCAGGAGAAAAGGTGTCAGTCGCCGTAGGAAACGCAGATAGCGGTGATGCATGAACCAGAGTGGAGAGAAAGAAAAAGAAGCCGAAGATACGAAAATGTGGAGCAGTTCTGATCGGTGAAAGAAACGCAAGCGGGATCAAAGCAGCGGCTATGAAAGAGTTTATTTTCGACAAAAACGTATCTTTTATTACAACGACGAGTGATGAACTTGATGAGAGTTTAAAGAGCGCGGTCACAAGAAATAAAGCAAACGAAGCAGACGTGGTCCATATTGGGGCCGACGATGTGTTGAATCATTGCGCAGATTATGTTCTGGAGAGCATAAACAGGACTGTCAACCATGCAAAATCCTTGAAAAATATCAAACGAGTCTTCATTTGCTCGCTTGAAGAAAGACGGGACACTCGCATTATGGTTTAAGAAACAGCAAAAACCATCAACAGTGAACTCAACCAGCTGTGTGTCACCCATGGAGTAGGATTCATAGATATGCGGCCAAGACTGATGTGCGTTTTTGGAGGCCTGAACAAGACAGGTATCTTACACACGGTTGAAGGCGCCAGAAACGTATCGCAACATATCATCAGCCAAGTGCTGTTTTTATTAGACTAGATGATAAGTTGATATCTGCTTCGGATCAATTTCATGAGAACAAATCACTTGACTCGAAGCCTTCCGGAAATCTAAGTTTTCTTACAGCCAACGTAAATGACTTTGTACATCCACTATGCAAGTTGAGCTTGGCATGATGTTGCACAAGTATGAGATAGGTGTAGCAATAATCACAGAAACCCATTTGGGCAAGACCGTTTATGAAAACCAAATTTTCCAAGCAGGATATGAAGTACTACGACGTGACAGAGACTTATTGACGGTCAACAAAAGTAAAGGTGGAGGAGTCGCCATATACATGAAAAATAACTTACCGTACACAGTGCACAAAATTGAAGTTCCGGACGAGCTGGAAGTTTGCTGGAGCATCATTCGACCTTTGCAACCCGACAGCATCATAATAGGTGGAGTTTACCTCCCTCCTGATGCATCATTCTGTCGCCGGAAAATGCTATCTAACCACCTTCTGGAAACACTTGATCGTCTTCCATCCTCAAGGCCAAGAGCAAGAACTGTCTTGGCGGGAGACTTAAACAAAACTTTTGGTGCAGAATTGTTAGCGCGTCAGCTGGCTCTCTCGCAAATAATTACGGAGCCCACAAAAGGTTCAACTGTACTGGACAAGATACTGACTGATTTCGATTCTCCATGCGCACCACTAAACCTATTACCCATTGGTACGACAGACCACAAAGCTATCGTATGGTTGGCTGCAAAACAAGCAGAATAACCTTAAGGCTATGGCTTTGTACGGCCTTTGAAGGACTCATCCATCAGAAGTTTTGGCAGATGAATTTGGTGCCAGGACTGGCAAGATGCAATAGCATCGCAATATGTAATAGCATGGCAATATGTAATAGCATAGCAATATGTAATAGCATAGCAATAAATGATATAGACCAAGCTGCTGCTCGACTAGAACTGCTACTCCAAAATGCTTATGAGGAGCACTTCCCTGAAATTAAATACAAGTGCAAGAAAAGTGAGCCGCATTGGATGACAAGCCGTCTCAAAGAGCTGATAAACAAACGCAATAGGGCGCACAGTCGTCATCAAATGGACAAACTATAAAAACTTAGAGCCAAAGTAGGCTTAGAGATTGCAGCTGCAAAAATGGCATGTCACAGGAAACGAATCCAAATAATTGCTTCTGACCGAAGAGGTTGTTGGTATAACAAGTAGCCAGCTTAACCAACCGAAAACCAAAACCATAGAGCTTTGACCTTGCGGATGCCAATGACGATAAATCAAAACCGGAATTAGTAAATCAGTTTTGTGCAGAAATATGCACAACGTATGGACCGCTGCGCACAGAAGGACTTCTCTGCTATCTGCCTGCCAATAACATTCCTGCTGAGATACAGTCGTGGCGAGTTGCTTTTCAGCTATCGCAGTAGAGGGAAAATATGGCTGTGCCCACTGGACAACCTCCAGTGCGGCTAGTAAGGGAATTTTCTGTGGAACTGGCCGTACCACTTACTCATATTTTCAAGCGGTCATTGCGTGAAATTTGCGTGCCATTGGTGTGAAAGAGAGCAACAATCACCCCTGTGCCAAAGAAAACATCGCCCAAGTTGCCAGGAGGTCTGAGACCACTAAGCCTCACATCAACTTTTGGCAAGGTTTTGCAAAACATTATTGTTCCGCAAATTCTGGTGAAAATAAACCAAGCACAGCTAAGCACCAATACGAAAATATGAAAGGTGTCTCAACGTCACACTACTTAATTACGTTGTTGCATGATTTGCTGACGGAATTAGACGAAGCAGACAAATTATTTTCTATGGTTATGTACGATTTTAAGAGGGGATTTGACCTCATCGATCACACAACAGTTATCAAGAACATGCTTGCAATGGGACTTCGCTCCGGGTATGCAAAGTGGCTTTGCTCATTCTTGCAGGACCGAGAGCAGCGGGTCAAGATGCCAGATGGAACTATGAGTCGTTGGAGAACCATAACATGCGGAACTCCGCAAGGCACCTTAGTTGGTCCGGTTGCTTTCCTGGCTTTAGTTAACGGTGTCGCTGCTGAAATTGACAACCGACTGAAGTATGTAGACCGTACCATACACCAGGCGTGCCGAATTGACCAAGTAGATCGGCACTGCCAGTCGCAAGAGCACACTGACAAGATAAGTGATTGGACAACGACAAACAAGATGATATTGAACAATGACAAATGTCAAGTCATGCATTTTTTTCACAGCCAAAAACCATTAGCACTACCGAACATCATGATTCAAGGGAAAAGGCCTGCCAACTGCCAGCAAAACTAAGCTTTTAGGTGTAGCAATATCAAATGGCATGTTATGGCAAGCACATGTGGATGAAATTGTAACCAAAGCATCGAAAGCTCTATATACGCCCTACATAATGAAGAAGTACGATCCACCATAGGAACAGCTTGTTCGTGTGTATGTTACTTACATCCGGCCACTGCTAGAATATTGTGCACCGGTTTTTCATGCAGAACTCACTGCTAAGCAGGCGCAACACCTTGAGAAAGTGCAGAAGAGAGTCTTGAAAATCATCTTCGACCATTCGGAAAAGTACTCGCACATCTTGCAGCACTTGGGCATGGGAGCCCTCACTGACAAGAGAAAAGCTGTGCCTAAGGCTAGGACAACAAATGTAAGCGTCTCCCATGCATAGAGACGTGCTTCCAAAGCAGCGAGTGGCGATCTCCGGCAGAAATACCAGGAGCGCAAGCACACTCCAAACGTTATGATGTGGTACGCGACTACGCAAATAAAGTATTCCCCATATAACCACTCTTATAAACACAGATATATTATCAACTTAGTAGCATCCTACTTTATACGTATGTTGGGCACATGTGCCATATGAGTTGATACTCGAAGCCATGCTTTTCTCGATAAACCGTCTGTCTGTCTGTCTGTCTGTCTGTTGTCTGTCTGTCTGTCTGTCTGTCTGTCTGTCTGTCTGTCTGTCTGTCTGTCTGTCTGTCTGTCTGTCTGTCTGTCTGTCTGTCTGTCTGTCTGGTCTGTCTGTCCTGTCCTGTCTGTCCTGTCTGTCTGTCTGTCTGTCTGTCTGTCTGTCTGTCTGTCCTGTCTGTCTGTCTGTCTGTCTGTCTGTCTTTCTGTCTGTCTGTCTGTCTGTCTGTCCTGTCTGTCTGTCTGTCTGTCTCTGTCTGTCTGTCTGTCTGTCTGTCTGTCTGTCTGTCTGTCTGTCTGTCTGTCTGTCTGTCTGTCCTGTCTGTCGGTCTGTCTGTCTGTTCTGTCTGTCTGTCTGTCTGTCTGTCTGTCTGTCTGTCTGTCTGTCTGTCTGTCTGTCTGTCTGTCTGTCTGTCTGTCTGTCTGTCTGTCTGTCTGTCTGTCTGTCTGTCTGTCTGTCTGTCTGTCTGTCTGTCTGTCTGTCTGTCTGTCTTCTGTCTGTCTGTCTGTCTGTCTGTCTGTCTGTCTGTCTGTCTGTCTGTCTGTCTGTGTCTGTCTGTCTGTCTGTCTGTCTGTCTGTCTGTCTGTCTGTCTGTCTGTCTCTGTCTGTCTGTCTGTCTGTCGTCTGTCTGTCTGTCTGTCTGTCTGTCTCTGTCTGTCTGTCTGTCTGTCTGTCTGTCTGTCTGTCTGTCTGTCTGTCTGTCTGTCTGTCTGTCTGTCTGTCTGTCTGTCTGTCTCTCTTCTCTCTCTATCTCTCTCTCTCTCTCTCTCTCTCTTCTCTCTCTCTCTCTCTCCTCTCTCTCTCTCTCTCTCTCTCTCATATGGCAGATACCACGTAGCAGAAGTACACCACTGGACATTGGGCGTGGAAGACACGTGATCTTTATCAAAGCACCTACTGTGTACGCTTACTTGCACGCAGAGCTTGGCTGTGCCTCTTGGAAGACGTTGTATGAGAGGACGTTTGTATGGGTTGGCTATGTTCTGATGCACATCCATAGGCGAGCTCATTAAACATGCACAGCTGCATGTTTAATGAGCTCACTGCGGCCACCAAGTCGCAGTCGGGGAAGCTCTCCTGTCGTTATGGCTGGTGCACGTCACCACAGGCCGTACCTCGTGATTTTTCTTGTCTGTCGCGCTCAGCAGCACAACTTAACCCAATCGTCGCCCCCCCCCCCACTCCCACCCCTCTCCGTGTCGCCAGTGCTGCGGCGAACAGAAGCTGTGTGGGCGCTTCGTCTCGCCACGTGGATGTGGTCTGTCCTCCTTCAAACCCCCGCGCGTCGTCAACGGCATTCCGGTGGATAGAGTGACCGACTTCCCCTGGATGGCGCTGCTCCAATACTCGTCTGAGCCGATCAACCGGTGCGGAGGCGCCATCATCAACGACCGCTGGATACTCACAGCCGCGCACTGCATCAATAGCGCCGGACCGTGAGTTGGACGTCACAAACGCTTTATGGGCGTTATTTTGGTTAGGAAGCAAGTCGAATAAGATGTTTTCCGTATAACTGATTTCGTATGCTTAATGCTTGGTTGTAGTTTAGCTTTCGCTGGTTGGAGCTTGCCCCGGGAACATATGTTACGCTATTCAAGTATTTCATGACATTTAAGACTTGATGGCTGCTAGATTATGATCAGGAGACAAATGGACAAGAATTTTCGGCGTTCCCCATGATCAGGTGGTCATAGAGGAGAAGAGAAAAGGGGAAAATGACGCGACACACCTGCCATACCCTTGCCGCTGCCGGCGTTGGACTGGAGGTCCAAAGCTTGTCTCCAGTCTGCCGCCGGCCTTGGACTGCAGGTCCAAAGCTTGCCTTCAGTCTGCTACCCAGTCGTGATGCGTGAGTGGAGTAGAGCGTGCCAATGTATGATGAGCAGCTGAGTAACGGTAGTGGTGATGCGCACGTGGATGAAATGATGATATTGCGCAGCGTCCAACCAGAAAGGCATACCATTTTTGACACGTTTAGAACAGTTCAAAGTGCTGGCAGCGGCAACGAGAGCGGTTCATCGAACCGATGACCGAAACGATTACACTGCCGTTTACGACAGCACAGCCCGCCTAGAAAACAAAAAAGTTTAAAAATGAAATTCTTATCTGCGATCCATCGACATGTCACCTAACGGAGCTGCGCTGTAAAGAGGCGTCCCCATAATTATGGAGCTTTTCAGGAAAAGCGTTAATGCCATCAGCTGCGTCACATGACACGACGTCACATGGCTGGCCCATGAGATACTACGGCGCCGAAGCGACTGTGGAAAGCAAACAACAGCCGCCCCTTGAGACCAGATCACCAAATGCCAAGACTAGCATTTTTTGGTGACCGTTTAAAGAAACAGGTGCAAGGAGCCATACGCTCATCTGGGTTTCGAGATTGGACCCCAGGGACTAGCCGAAATGCGTGCAGAAATACTTGCGCCGTTCTGCCCTGTAGAGGCCTCGTTCTTCATCTGGATATAGATCATACGCCACCTTTAACGCCGGACTGGAAGATCGATATGCGACCAGAAACGCTTCATATCTGATGCTGTGCGACCTTGATCAACACATTTTTATTGGCGGCAAGAAACAAGGCGTGTGCTTGTTTTTTTATCGGGTATCTGGGAGACTTTCGCGAACCAAACCGCGTGCACACCTCTCGACGGCCATCCGTCCGCCAGTGACCCAAACAAACCGCTCACCAACCATCTGCACGTCAGGATTCTGCGCAGATGGAAGAGTGCTGACAGGAACTTTTCGAAGCCCTCCGTGTGAAAAATGCCGTCAGACCGTTTAGTGCCGTCAAACACACATTTGCATACACCGTCGTCACGTGGTAACGTAGTTACTTCCTTTCTGGAGGAGCAACAGCCCGTTGAGGGGGGTTCGAACTCACTGTCAGTTTGCCCAAGCCACTGCGCACGTCACTCCGGGCGGAGAGCCTGGGCTGGCATGCCAGCCTCGACGTACACCGTTTGGACGACAGGAATGATCGGGAAAAAGCATGGTTTTATTTCCACCAAGGTGGTGAAGTGGATACAGGAAACCTTTCGTTGCCGATGTGTTACCAATGCTTGCTAAGTGATCGACATCGACAAGGAATGACCGATGACAAAATGAATCACCGATGATCCACAGTGCAAAATCAGTGCATGGTGTTTCCATTTATGTGTCCCTGCTGCAACCCTTACGAGTCAGTGAAGCGATGTGTAGTCCAGTGCGGCCCCTTGCTATGTGTGCTTTTCCATATATCAACCATTGCGTAAGGGTTATGTGGTGACCTCATGCAAATTTTGTTATTTTGCAGAGTGAAGGTGCTACTGGGCGACTTGAACCTTGCCACCACCACGGAAGAAAGCACCCAGTACCCGCCCAGAGTGTACAATGTGGAAAAAGCCATAAAGCATCCGGAATATAAAAGGGTTTTCAGAGGAAACGGCCAAGGATTGTTCAATGACATTGCCCTCGTCAAGCTTACGGAGCGCATCTCGATATCCCGTAAGTCCTCACTGAATAGCCCACTATTTGCACGCAAGAAACAACCAAGGGAATCCTAAAGCTATAACGCCTGCTCCAGGGTGGGTGGGGGCGCTGGCATTGCGTGGCCCATTGTTTCATTCAAGTAATCCTAGTTAGCACATTTCAGCCACAAATTGGACGACCCAGCGCACACAGAAACTTATCTCCCTGAACAAATAACCTCTAACCCTGGTTGTGAACATCACTTCCACATTTCAGTGGGGCTGCTGATTTAAAAGACATTTCGACAACTTTTGCCAATTGCAGTCAATACTGGTATTGCGACCTTCAACTTATGACAGATTCGTGTATGACAAGCAACAAGCTTTTCATGAGCAGCATTCCTTGTTATGCAAACCTTTCGGTGGTCCGGCAGTGGCATTCATTTGTAAAAGTTTTTACTCACCTTTCCACCCTTTTACTCCACATCAGCATTATTGCCTTTCATGCCATCTGTTAGCCCTCGGTGTCGAGGCCTTCCTGCCCCCTCCTCCCCCCATTTCTCTCTCCACCACACTGCATTTTGTGGATGGCCCATTGCGCTCTCATCCTAGCATCACGACATTAGCGGCGTCAACACATGTGTTTGATAGAAGTGTGCAGTAGCTTACCAAAAATCGGTGATGGGAGTTTGCCCTTTACCATGGTAGCATCGCTACTTCTTACCATTGATATTCTTGGAGTTACCAACGTGTTTTTCTGGTTGCGGTCACACATGGTAAGTTTATTCAAGCCTAGGTGCCGCGCCCCGATCTCCTTTTTTGATGTCCTTTATTTCATGCTGCCAAATCAAGCATAGTACCGTCGTGGGTTTGAAGCAAACAAAGAGGCGTCGACTCATCTGTTTTTCAGTGAGTGATTGTTTCTACATTAGCATACCTGTAACCTTTGAACATTTATTTTGCGTTGCTCAGGAATATTACTTAGAAGTTTTCGATGCACGTACATGGCCTAGTCGCATTCAGCGCCGTGTGTGTCAGGCATGTCCTCTGTCTGGTTCTGACTAGCTTGGGTATATTAATTTCAGAAATTTTGTACATTGATATATATATATATATATATATATATATATATATATATATATATATATATATGTATATGCATATATTATATCAAATTTCCACCATATTCATACACGCTCCGTTTAGACAATTTCTTAGTCGTCGCTGGTCTCTGTCTGTGCTGACCCTGGTTTGAGTCACGCCTGCTGATAGTATGACCGATGGCTGCGGTCTGCATCATCGAGCATCGATAGCTTTTTGCAATCGATCTCTCCGCTTACAGCCGTGATGAAGCCGCTGTGCATCCCCGATTCCTCCCGCCCCGCCTCCGACCTGGACAACCAGCAGGCCTACGTCGCCGGCTGGGGCGCGACCGAGTTCGGTGAGCAATGGCCCACTGTAGCCGGGCATGGAGGTGCCGGCAGATGCCGTGGTTAAGGGCGGAACAGAGCACGGGGTCCTGGTTTGATAACCAGCCGGAGGAAGGTGCACGGAGTGGATCTCGAGCGCCACCTGATCTGAGGTTCGATTTTCCGCCTGGCGCAGGTGCACGGTGTAATCTCCAGGCGAGGAAAGACCACTGTTCTGATTCGAACATTTCATGAAGCCCGTCTCTGTGATGTGTTCGTCCAGCGGTTCGGCTCAGCTTGATCAGAGAGAGACGTGTAGCGACGCGGCGATCCGTATTGGGCCAAGTCCAGCGGCGTGCTGTCCCTGCTATCCCAGCCAGGCACGACAAAACATATAGCTCGGGTGAACTTCCACCCATAAGTCAGCTCGCATACACGCACCTATCACGCGTCCCCTACGGTCCGCCCCGGGACGGCGGTCAGCGCCCGCGGCGGTAGGTCGCATTCCACCGCGCGGCCGAGGCCGCGCCGCGACACGGCTGGTTGGTATGCTGTGCCACCGGGCCGGCTGGGCGTGCTCACGAAAGGCCCCGACAGCCGACTGGCAACATTGTCATCCCAATGCTGCTGAAGGTGGCGATAGATGATTAAAAGGCGCTTAGCTTGTGGAAAGCCAAGTCTTGGGGTAGACCATGCGTAAGAGCTTTGCGGATGTTAGGACTCGAAAAGCATGGCGATAAAACCTTGGCAAAAAACGACTTCTTATCACAGCCACAGGTTTAATAATGCATTCACCATGCTGAATGCGGTGGCCCAGCAGACGTTGTCAGTGCAGGCTCGGTAACCTGCCGCCGTCCTTGTAGCAGATTATTGCAGTTTTGCCCGCGGGTCATTTTTCAGCCTTTTTCCTTGTGTAATGCTTGGGGCATGAGCTTTTCGGAAAACGGTGCACAAGAATTGATGCTAAATCTTCTGCTCACTGCACATTTTTCTTTTGAATGGCTTTGGCGAGTAAAAAAACTTCTGGGAACGGCTTACGACCGCAAATAAGGGGCTTTTGCCCGAAGCCGTCTTCACAATGCACACGAATGTTACCAACGGGTCAAAACTTACGCAGCCACGTCGCGTGCATTGCAGCTGGGCCCACCGAGGCCTTGATGCAGTGGGCCCGGATCAACGTCACGCGCCACGCTCAGTGCCAGGACACGTACTCCCGCCAGAACATGGCCGTGGACAACACGCAAATCTGCGCCAACGGCGAGAACGACCTCGGCGGAGTCGACACCTGCAGGGTGGGTGCAAAAACAGGCCAGGATGCCTTTTGTTTGAGGGCTGCACGTGCCGACGTACTATGACAAACCGAATGGCCTAGCTAGGCTCTATATGGTTTTATGCCTCAAGAAGGGCAGGGCTGTGAACCCCAGCAAATCATCATTAACATTGCCATCTCAGTTCAAAGCCCCATACAAATGTGGAACACTCCATTAAAACATTTTATGAAACTTCGCTGGCTCGCATGTAGCACTTGATAGCTTCTGGTATTCTGAAATGCCAGTAAACGTGCGCTAGTTTTGCTGTGCTCTCGTACTTCGGCTGTGACATGATACCGGCCACCGGTCGGCGAACTCAGCCCGTCTGACATCTGACACTCTGGCGTCGGCAGGGCGACAGTGGGGGTCCTCTGATGGAGCGTCGGAACCACAGGAACCGGCAAATCTGGTACGCCGCGGGCGTCGTCTCCTTCGGCTCCGGCTGCGGTAACGTCAACTTCCCGGGTGTCTACACCCATGTGGAGAGCTTTCTCGACTGGATCGGCTGCACGGTGGCGAAGAACTGACCACCTGACGATAGGGTGGCGGGGGGGGGGGGGGGGGGGCGTCGGCAGGAGCAGTGCTGCGATGAAGCGTGATGCGGCGCTGGAACGTCCCTGTTCAGTGCGGAGGCATCCTCGTGCGGCGATGTAGCGTGCTTCTATTAATGCTTGAGAGTCTCTATGCGATGTCGAAGTGTCACTGTGTGTAATATTTAGGAGTTCTTGTGAGATGCAAAGAGCACCTGTGCATTCGGCGTCTTTGTGTTTCTCGAGCGCCCTGTGTTTTCTAAGCGTCTTTGTGCCACTGAATCATGTCCGTGTTTCTGAAATGTGCCTGCATGTAGAATGTGATGTGACCAGGATGGAGGCCGTAACTTGGCGTCTTTTGAGAACGCCACCGAGTGCTCCAGAGGCTGTGGGCTGCTGTCACCTAACACAGAATTTCTTTGCTTTGCTTGGTATTGTAGAAGGACTAGTCGGCAGCATCGATGCTTCCCTCCGGGGGTTTGGGCGCGCTGCTTTTTTATCTGGCTTAATCTGCAATCGCCTTACGCTGCCTTATCTGACAAATACACGCTTCATTTTAAGATGCCTAAGATTTTCAACTATTTCCCAAATTGCTCCCAGATGACGAAGCGCGATGATGTCTTTGACCGGGCATTTAGATGCACGAATTCGGAGTGCAGGATGCATCGTTCGGCACTGGAATCATGCACACAGTTAACAATCACGTGGCGTTTTGCACAGTATGCTACTATTCTCATCTTGTTCACTTGCTGACGGGGCCGCCCATATATTACGTTACGCATGCAACGAGGCAACGGGGAATGGAGGGGGGGGGGGGGGCGGGGCGCGGGGGGGGGGGGGGGGGGGGGGGGGGGGGGGGGGGGGGGGGTGAAACTTATGCCTTAAATGGGCATTGGTCGTTTGATACTACCCTCAGGTGAGCTGACAAATCATATTAGCATTTTTTTTCCTTTCACAAGCTTTAATACTGGATAACGTCGGCTTCGTCTCAAGACAAGTACGGCCCCGTGTTTGTTTCACACTCTTCGCTCCGTTTTCACACAGCGCATAAACAGTGCAGGTACTTGTCCCGTTGCAACGCTATTTAGTATAAACATAATATGTAAATATATATATATATAAAGAGAGAGAGAGAGAGGAGAGAGAGAGAGAGAGAGAGAGAGAGAGAGAGAGAGAGAGAGAGAGAGAGAGAGAGAGAGAGAGAGAGAGAGAGAGAGAGAGAGAGAGAGAGAGAGAGAGAGAGAGAGAGAGAGAGAGAGAGAGAGAGAGAGAGAGAGAGAGAGAGAGAGAGAGAGAGAGAGAGAGAGAGAGAGGATAGAGACTAGAGATAGTAGAGAGAGCGAGAGAGAGAGAGAGAGAGAGAGGAGAGAAGAGAGAGAAGAGAAAGAGAGAGATAGAAGAGATAGAGAGAGGAGAAGAGAGAAGAGGTATCTATAATATCTTATATATATAATATAATATATATAAACCTATATATACACACATATATGCACACACATCTATACATATAGAGATACTAGATAAAGATATAGATAAATATATATATATATATATATAATATATATGTTTATATATATATAATAAATATTTATATATGTAATTATTATTATTTATATATATATAACATTATAATATAATATATATATGTATATATATATATATATATATATCATATAACACACAAACACACACACGCACACACACACACAAACATATGTATATATATATATATATATATATATATTATATATATTATATATATTATATATATATTATATATATGGTAAAAGGACAGTTTACAGCACATCGTAGTGCCATGGATCTGTTGGATCATTGACATCGTCAAGGATCATCGTTGACATCTCTATGAAGGAAAACGCAGCTTATGCTCAAAAGTATGGCAAAGACAACCTACCAGTGCCTCCTTGCATCCTATTAATGTCATCAAAGTCGATTTAGAAGCTTATCACGTGTCGCATCGAGTGCTGTCGCTTTTTGAGACCAGATGGTTCTTCTTGCTGCCCTGCAATTACCTATTCCCCAGGTGAGTGCACATCTTATTTTGGAGACAAAAGCGCTAACAAGATTACGTGGTGCTGTTGTTGATGCTCTGCCATACATGCGATGGATCTCCGCATGGAGGACGTATTTGCTACTCTAATATCATACTTCGTTTCTCACATTCCTTAAATGGACGTGGTTCAAAAACGCGATCTCGAAGACTATGAAAATCCTCGATTCTAACCTCTAGGATTCAGCATGCTTCAGGGGATATCACGAGTTTTGCACATGTCTCGTGTTGCCTGAGGGTTTCGTGCGCTGACAGCTTGCGCATCGCGATACTTTGTGAGCTTCCAAGGTACACATCCCGATGGCATGGACGCTGTGCGAAAATGTAGAAGACATGGTGAGGTCAAAAAAATAAATAATGAGATGTGTCGTGTTACACTGTGACGCTTATGGTGAACTACCACCCTCAGGTGAGCTGAGAAATAATGTTAGTATTTTTTCATCTACAAGTTTTAAAATCGGATAACGTCGACTTGCTCTCATGACAAGTAAGGCCTTTGTTTCACACCCTTGTCTCCATGTTCACACAGCGCGCAAACAGTGCCCTTACGAATCCCGTTGTAACGCTATATAGTATAGCTATAGTATGTAAATATGTATATATACATATATATATATATATATATATACATATATACATATATATATATATATATATACATATATAAATATATCATATAAAGCGAATGGTCGCTCCATGGATCTGTTGGATCCTTGTTCATGTTTTGTGCGACAGCAACTCAATGCTGACATCGTATATGAGAGAAAACGCAGCTCACACTCAAAAATATGGCGAAAGCAACATACCAATATCTCCCTGCATCCTATCGATGTCATCAAAGTCGATTTAGAGGCATAACGTGTTGCATCGAGTGCTGCCGCTCTTTCAGGCCAGATGGTTCGTCTTGCCGCCCTATGATTGCCTGTTTCCCAGGTGAGTGCATATTTGATTTTGGAAGCAAAAGCGCTGACAAGACTTTGTGATGTTTCTCGATACATGCAACATAACTCCTTATGGAGGACATATTTACTATTCTAAGATCACACTTTGTTTCTCACCTTGCTTAAATGAATGTGGTTCAAAAAACGCGATCTCAAAGATTATGAAATTCCAGCCAAGTGGCTGGCTAAATAACCACTGGCATTCAGCATGATTCAGGGGATGTCACGTGTTCGGCACATGCTCGTACTGCATGGGGAACCAAGTGTTGCGTGCGCCGATAGCGTACCCATTGCGATACTTCTTGAGCTACTAAGGTACACATTCCGATGCCATGGACGCTGTGCGAGAATGTAGAAGACATGGTGAGGTAAGAAGAAAATAATGAGACGTGTCGTGTAACACTGTGACGTTTAGGGTTTAACGGCTCCGTACATGCGAAAGTCGTCCCAATGTGCAGATGACATTTCCGCAGCTAAACTTGGCTGCGAAACCGTTCTGTCAGAGTATGTATGGACTATTTTTGAGATAATCCCAAATTATTGAAAGTTTAAAGAAGCAAGGGTTCGCGGGTCACAGAGACAAATGTACAATGACAGAAGCAGAGGTCGTGGTCCCTTGCCGCGCCCTGACAGGTGCGGCCGACCATGGTGACCTGTGATGGCCATGGGTAGGGTATGCGAGTCCCGACTCAGTGTTCTTACCATGGAGTAAGATCGGTGGCGTCAGTCAACACACAGACCCGCCACACAAACAGACATGAAGTTGTTGAATAAGCGTGCTCTGACCAGAGAGTGACTTGCGTGTATGCAATAGCATCAAGTGATCGTTTCAGTGATCTGCTCTACCGCTAGGTCCGGATATTTGTGTTGCAGTGCAGTTACGGCATGCACAATTTAAACATTTGTTTTGCCCAAACACAAACGTGCGTGCTTTCAGAATGTGTCCAGTCGTTAGGTTCCAAAATGTCAAAAATACTGACAAGCAAATATCAATGCCAGGACATCATGACACTGAGAATTACCGCTGCTCCAGATGCTTGTCGCCGCCGTTGTGGCCATGGCTACCGCCGCCCCGACCGTAGCTACGGTGCCCTCACCTACGCCCAAAAGGCGTGCAAGATCCTGAAGCAGGACGGCGTGTTCCGTGAAGACCAGTCCCTCCGAGTCGCAAAAAGCAATCCTTTTGTAACGCTCACGTCCAGGGCATTATTTGTAATAGAAATAAAATCCCGGAAAACGTTTTTTGTATGATCTGTTGCCAGCAACGATTAGTGCACAGGGTGATGCTAGAAGTTTGTTCTTATCATCAAATTATTTTTTAAAATAAATCTATTCCGTATGGTTTGCATCGGTGACTTCTGGTTCAGAGTACCTGCCAAGCATAGCTTGTTGCGTGTACCCTGAACCCACCACCCAAGTCGTGCCGTCCAGTTCAACGAATGATTTTGCCTCCACCCTTTTGTCAGACAGGATTGCGGAGGCTTATGCGTGTCGCACATTGCTGCGGCAGGGCCATCCCTGAACTGGGTCGACCTTCGTTAGCCAGTTGTCAGCTGATCTTTCCAATTCAAGCGGGTCAAACAATGCGCCCACTCTGGTCCTTGTTCCCAGTGCCGCTGGGTTACAAGTCAAGCAGCTTTCCCCTAGACTACGGAGGCGGCACGATCTGTAGATGATTCAATGTTTCACTCATATTTATTTCGAAGCTTTGGGACTGGAAAGTGCACCCATGTCTCCGAGTCTGACAGGCTGGTGGAGGGATACGGCGATAAGGAGAGCTATGGCGTCAACCGCCAGTTCAGCTACACCGGCCCCGACGGTGTTATTTACAGGGTCGTCTACGTGGCCGACGCCAACGGCTTCCAGCCCCAGGGTGACCACCTGCCCACCCCCGTGCCCACCGATTTCCCCACCCCGGAGGTGTCTGATGATGAGGAGGAGAGGCACGAGGCGCCTGGGCAATGATGATGACGATGATGAGGCTCCCCGCGCTTACTACCAGCCCCAGCCTCAGTATGAATGCGTCAACGTCGGCTAAAGGCTCCGCTAGAATTAAATCTTTGTTATGTTATCCTTGTGTTCAATATTCCATTACATGGGATCGACACGCTTGTTTAGGAGCGCCTTTCAAGCGAACCATTATAGGTCTTTACAAAAAATGCGATTGCAAACGACGACATTCCTTGCCGGCTTATTCCTAGTAGTCTCTGTGAAACGCCTTGTTTGGCGTCGAGTGAGCTGGGTGAAAACAAAGATAAGCCTTATCACGTGAGATAATGATACAAGGTAGAATGAAGACAAAGTGAGAGGAAAGAGAAATGAAAGGGGAGGGCTGAAGTATCACGCGGTTTGGTGCTGGGCCGCGCGAAGAGATCAACTGGTGGGTCAAGAAGTGCGAGGGATTTGGTAAATACGGCTGACGTTCTGCGTTTTAAAGGTTTAGCACGGACGCGAGGCTGAAGGTAATTTGGCCAAGCGGTGAAAGGGAACTGGCGCCCAATGTGGCATCGCACGGTGTTCGAGGGCGTTGACGTGCGCTTCGGCACGACGGCTGGCTCGATAGCCGGCGCCGAGGCTGTCTCGATTTTGCCGTTGGAGGCAGCCACATGGAGGCGCAGCGGCTCATCATGTCCCTCGCCAATCCCACGTCGCGGCCAGGCACGGCGTGCGGACCACGCCGGTACATCCATGAAGGTGCCCTTCGGCTGTGGCGGAAGTCTGCTGGCTGGCTGGACGGTCTGTTTTTTTATTCCTTTTAAATTTAACTTTAATTTAATTTTAACCCTGACTTTTGCACATGCACGGACGGACTGACGATCACGCTGTCTTCTCACCACACGTTATCAGTTGCTTTGCCCAGGCCGATTGACTGGTTAGTCATATGACGTTCGTGCATGCATAGCCTCCTTTTCCGCTAAGTTAATCGTTTGCTTTTGTTCCCTCCCTTTGCTTTTTCCTTGGGGGGGCGGGGGGGGGGGCGTGGGCGGTGAAACGGTCTTGCCGAGTCCCGTCCGGAGCGCTTGCACGCATTTCATCATCCGCGCGCTGTCCTCCATTGCTTATCGCTCGTCCGGCCCAGCTAAGTGATTTTGCATGGTATCGGTGAGTGTGTAATTTTTGTTTGTTAACATCCTTGTTTGACTCGGTACTGTCTAGCTCCGCTCAGCGCGTACGCACGGTTTTTTTTAACGAGAGCGTGTAATTCCAGTTCCCTACTTTTCTCTTTGTGTTGCTTGGCCTGGCTCGATTGACTGACTGGTCAGTGCACGGTGTCCGTGCTCGCCTGTCAAGGGCCTCTCCCGTCCTGGAGGGATCTGCTACAGACGCCGGAGGCCCGGCACGGGAGAGTACGGTGTCGATTTTTCCGAATCAACCAATCTCCCTCCGACCGCCTGAAGCGAGCGGTCGGAGCGAGATTACCCGCCATGGGTTCGGAGACATCGCGGCGAGGTGTACCGAACCCGCTATGTCTCGAAAGACCGTGCGTGACAGCGCGAGACCAGAGGAGGGCACTCGCAAGGCGCCGATCGGGGCAGCGTTTAGAAGACGACACAGGCGCCATCTACCGGCGGATATCGGACATCACGGGCAGAGGGCAGCACCTAACGGCGCGCATGGCGGCGCTGGCACCTGCGACCCGCCAGCAGAGGACAGCACCTTACGGTGCGGACGGACGAGGGGTCTAGCGCCCGCGACCCGCCGGCAGAGGATAGCAATTTGCGGTTACGACGGGCGAGCGATTCCAGCGCCACGACCCGCCAGCAAGTTACGAGGTGGCGCTACACGCCGAACATGGGGAGACCGAACTCGCTTAAACCACATGGGGACGTGGGACCACGGACGCGCGCGGGTCGAGGCCATTTACATTGATACGAATCCATTCGTCGCGATCATGCTCTCTGTCGCACTGTTTTTTTCTCTTGTTTTTGTTTTGCTTACTCTTTGTTTGGTTTGTGTCTTATTTTTTGGCCTGGCATCCAAGGGAGTGTCCGATAGGTCGTCGGTGTCGGCCCGCAGCCCTCCCTGCACCTAGCCCGTCGTATCGCCGGCAGACCCGGGCATGACCGCGGCGCTATGTACGCCGCATGCGTGCGCGGTTGGCGGGTGACTGTTGTTGGCCCGCTGGCGGTGCGACTAAGTACGTAACGGTCCGGTTAATAGGGGGAACTCGCGCTCAAATCCAGGGTAGGCTTTGACTTATCAATGGCCACCCAGTCAGTGGGTCGATTGCTCGGACTTGCGACGACGAAGCGCAAGCACTGGCATTTTCCGCAAACGCGCCCGAGCAGTACGGCCCAGACACGGGCAGGATCGAAAAGTCAGACAGCCCCGGTCCTGCCCTCACACGGAGCGATGCTTGTAGATAGCGCGACCCGGAGGCGCGGCTTCGCTCCTTTTTACGGACCACGTGACGTCGGACTCGTTTCGTTGTCTCTCACTTGACCTCAGACGTGACGGCATAAAGACGCATCGGTCACGGTATCACCAAGGACCAGTTGGGACTGCCCAGGTTGCACCATTATGCACGCTTGTCACTGAGTCCATCTGTTGGTGTACAATGCCTCGGGAGAGCACAGTACACAAGCTATTCTTTCCCGACGTATTGCGCGTCAGGTCTTATAAGCTCTTGGCGGGACAAATAGAGAGCTTGATGTTGGGAAAAAGAGAGCTCTCCAACGCGCGCTCATAGCAAGGGCGACAAGAGACAGGGTCGTAGGACTGGCCAGTCAGTTAGTCTCCAGATCATCCCGGCAGTGGATACCGCAAGGTACAAACGTAGGTCACGTCAAGCGCTCGCTGTCTGCCAAGGGGATTCGCCTTCCCATCGGGAGCGCTGTCTACCTGCAGGCCTCTGAGAAACGCGCCGTGGGGTGGAGCCTTACAAAGTTCACTTGAGCAGGCGGGAGGCGAGGGCGCGGAAGCGTCGGAGGCCACGTCACCGTGCTGTACGAGGCGCTGTCTATAGCGCGGCACGGCAGCGGAAAGCTGCGGGAGGTGGGCGTGGCCGAAGGAGTGATGGTCCGCCCAACCTTGGACGAGACGCGAGGGAGCGTCGGCCGAATAGCGTGCCTTCGCCCTGGAGGTTGGGCGAGGGAACGAGTCGTCGTCCAGCTTCGGACACCTGATGCCGGCCGCGTAAACGCGCTGGCGCCAGACTGATAAATGAGCCTGATATGCTTTAGTGTATGCACGTGGTTCCACCGGGTGTATGAAATGCGTTAAATGGACTCAACTTAGTTCAACGAGGACTCACACAGACATATTATCATGTCAACGTACTGGGACAGGGGGGGGGGGGGGGGGGCGAGGGTATCTGTGTGCGAGCCAAGAACGATTGGATTGACGCGGACGCCAACAGATGTGTATGTTTGGAGTGAGTGTGTTTAGGTCAACAGGCGCCATTTAACGTCCAGCATTAAAGCCCAAGAGACGCTTCCAGGGACATGGAAAGCCTCCCACTGGTGTTGTATTTTGTCTGCCGGGCCCAATCCTTTCCGAGTCCATCCGAGACTGACCTAAGCTGTGATGATCGTTGTCACTCTCATATTCAGGACGTAATACGCACCATGATGGGTTTTGTTTCGGCAAAACACGGACGAGAATAACGGGTATTAGAACACTCCAAATCTGTCAATGGATGCCACCATTTCGTATTTCATTGGCTCCATAGGTAAGGTAGAACTTCCGAGAAAAATCATTTCGAAACGTGGGACCTAAGAGTCCGGTGAAATATAACGTAAACCTCCTTACATACTAATTGTTTTAAGTCATTCCATAATCTTATGCGCACAAACCCCACTGATACGAAACTCACCATTTCACATCAGGCGTGCCGATGCCCACCTCCGTTCTGATTTTCGTTCTCGTTGTTGTTTCCTTGTTGAGCCGGCTTTGCTCGTTTGCATGATTACACAAATTGTACTCGACCTTTTGACACCACTTGGCCCATACCACACCACTAAGCTCCCTGACCTTACCACTGGCATGAACAGTAGCTTCATGTCTTACCACCTTTAGAGCTTTTACATGATCTTCGACCTATTGTGTTGTGATATTGTATGAGGTATATGTCCAGGCGGATGATATTATTGTGAGATCACAGAGGCCGATTTACCTTCTTTATGTCATGGCTATTGTAGGCGCATGATACTGAGAATCGCATCTGTCCTCAACAAAGGGGTGAAAAAACCGTAAACACTGTCTCCCACCGGACTCTGATGCCAGATTTTGTCTCCTTGGCTTTTTGATGAAGCCGGTGAACGCATAACCGCATTGCCAACTTCTCAAGGGAGCTTCGGTCGGATCGCGACAGCATCGTAGTTTTACCTACCATATCCTTGACCGCATACATGTTTTGCTAAAGTACTTTCGACACCACGTAGTTGGCGACGATTTTTTGTATTTACACTGAATTCACCTTGGATATGTATGAAATCACGCCGACATGGTGTCAGTACAAAATGCCAAATACGCCGCGTACAGTTCAGCACACAACGAAACCTTGTCTACAGTACTTCAGCACTCGCCGTGAGCTCGAGGACGTTAATCGCGCATGTAAAATTTGATCCATGGGCTGACTCACAATGTCAACACTCCTTTTCTCCTCAACTACTTGAAAAGGCATGAGCGATATGATTGGTATGCTTTATGGCGGGCGATCACCGTTCCCGTGAGCAGGTGCTTCACGTTGACAGACCGCCTCACGAAGTCAAATTGGTGACGCTTCTGAACAGCTCTTATGAGATGTTCGGCACCATCAAGCTCAGGATCATTCCATCGAATCGTGAGCTTGTTCGCGGCATTGTCATGCCTCAGCTGCCGATGCATGAAGAAAACCTCCTTGAGGACGCTGCCCATGGACTCAACCACACTTTCGACAGGGCTGAGCAGCCACACGCGGACAACTAGACTGACGAAAGGTTCCATCGAGCGACCACGTTTCCACAAAGCTTTCAAGAGAGCTTGGTTGGAGCTAGTGCGTTCCTCACTATGCAGGATGCTGATTGCTTCGCAAACGCTGCAGCTCGGCGCCGCAGCCGATGGCCGGATCAGCTTGCTGGACACCAGATGTCCGATGGCTTCGGAGACTGTGCTCACCTGGACGTCGACTGATCTTTTGGGTCCGGAAACCCTTTAGGTCACCAACCGACCGGACATAGAGCATGTTGTGCAGGAGCGCCTCGTTTGCTGTTCCTTTTCTTCCACCATCCGCACCACCTCCCTCTCTCCTTGCCTTCAAGTTGTGGACCAGGGCCGCACCAAACGCCACGATAGGGCGGACCTGTGGATTGCAGTTTACTTGAGTCCGAGGGAGATCGAATCGCAAAGGAATAATTCGTTTCGAGCCAGGTTCAAAAGTCACCGCTGGTGAATCAATTTCGTGCAGAAATTTGGCTGCTTGGTGATTGTCATTTTCGGGTGCGTTTGTCGGCCCAATAAGCTGCAGGCTTGAACAAGGATACAGGTTAAAACTAAACACCACCTTAACAATTACACGCCCAGTGCTGTGGAAGTGTGGAACTGTGGAAACTGAAAAACTGTGGAAGAGGTAGGTTAATGACAAAATATCAGGAGCACCACAATTACCCCACAAAAATGCACTGATTTCTTGGAAACACCCAAACTGTTAATGGAAAATGACATCCCCATTCAGTATGAACATCTGAGCACTGCATGGCAAATAAAACAAAAATGTTAAATGAACAGTGGTAGACATACTTTTACTGAGACCAAAATGGATGTGAAATATTCTGAGCATGAAGACCTATGATGAGGCAATAATATTTTGGCAATAGAGTATAGTATTGTTACATGACTGACAACGCAAAATTAACTTTCAGTCATCACACCATCAAATCCATATCTATGCAGGAGCCATTTTAAGATCAACAGTTAGGACATGCTGCATTTCAGGTGTCAAAAATCCAACCAATGCAGCTCATCTTAGTACCTGCAGTTTTCAATATCAACACCTAACCAGTTGTTATAGGATGATCAAATATTTATCTGGCAAGAAAATGGGGAAGCTGGTGGTAACTGTAACTGAGGGCAGTATCTGATAAATTTGAATGAAGATGATTCATGACAAAAATGAGTCCTTAAGAACATTGTCATCAACCAGCTGCAAGTGTAATGTAACAGTAATGCAACTGTAATATTTGTTAAACAATGTACAGCTTGCCAGGAAACCTTAAACCACCATTCCATGCCTATCTTGAAATAAGTCTGAAAGTTTTGCCATTTTAATAACATTTCACACTGAATAAAACAGAGACCCAAGTCATTTACCATCAATACCCAACCACCACAAGCAGCATATATGAAAAACTCACCTCCAGTCTCATCTGCAGAGACTGATGGCACAGCTAGACTGGATGACCTACCTAGCATCTCAAAAGTGTTGGTGCCTTGTGCTCTGCCATCTGTGCCACTGTTCATTCCTGTGGAAAATCAAAGCCAATCTATTTTACAACCCTTGACAGACCTTTCAAGCAAAACATCTGAATAAGCAGATGCTGTTATTGGCAAAGTACCTGTAAGCAGACAGGCTAACATCACTGTGAAAACAATGAAATACCACTGACTACGCACACAGTGACATCTCGGCCGATGAGCATGATTCATTAAAAATTATTTATTTTTGTTTTGGATGGTGAATGTGTGGACTCTTCCACACTTTTTTGTTTTATATGATGCAGTCTAATTTTAATTAATGGTGGTAATCACACCAAGCTGAAGATAACTATGCACTAAACTGCCCATACAAACTACAAAGTCATGATTTGTTCTACCATGTCCTCTGCCACCAAATCAGTGATTCTAGACTATTTCATTCACTGTATTTGATAGGTATGCAGGCATGTTTGGTCATGACTATCTACCTCGGGTAAATATTATTAAACATTTGCTACTGTGCAGAAGGCCACTCATACTCATGTAGATTCAATTTAAACTCTTACCTTGGAGCAAGATCCCCACTTTCCACCTACACCAAAACTTGAATTATTAAGGACAATTGGCAACCTTTTATGCTTATTGTTCATGTGCCTTTTCAAGTTTCTTCCTTCTCCATTAAAACCACAGTTCACGTGCCAACAGCGCACTTTCATACGTGATGGATGTTTACCCATGACTGGCAACTGAACAAACAGGCAAAGCTTCAACGCAGAAGATCCAAGGCTATAAAGAGACAAGCGCAAATGTCCCAGCCTAATCGAAAAGTGCGATATATATTTGCTAAAACACCCAAAACTACGCGTAATCAGTATGCACGCAATGAACATCTCCGACACAACAGATCGCAACGCCGACTGAGCACGCTGAGACGGCCGTCAACCTAGCAGCAGATTGATACCCAATTGTCAGTTGGATATTGCGGGGCGTCTCAATGGCCTTGAAATTTGGTGTGCAGGGCCTTCTCAACACGCTGATTCCGAAATTATATCATTGTTTGTCCTAACCATAAACTGACATGATGTCGCTTGTGACCAAACCAATCGTGCCTCACCACTGGAGCCTGAAGATTTGGGTGATGTCACCGCCTGTCTTATCTCCCAAGGACGCTGGTGACGCTGGTGGAGCAGCGCATGCTAGCTGTGCACGCCATGCCCATGTTGCTGGCTGACCGGACACATCAGCCCGCTGCTGCTGACCGTGGTGGAGACACCGCACTACGCGAGCCGGCCGGACTGCGGTGGCGACACACCGGTGGTCAGGCGGCCCAAGCAGCTGATAGCCGACTGCATGCCGAAGCATGGGACGGCACACGACGTGCGGCGCCGAGCGCTGATTGCCACCGACCCGTCCTTACCCAGGTGCTGACGGCAGCCAGCCCCGTCCCCGCGCGTCACTGATGGATTTTGTTGCCCGCATCCCGCACTGCTTCACGCGGTGGACTAGGCAGGGGATGGAAACGAACTGGGGCTGCGGCAATGTATCGCTGATGATGCTCTTCCTCCGTGAAGCGACGTTTTTACTTGCACTGCCTGTCGCGTGTTCGTATTCCTGTGATGGCCGTCATGCGAGATGACTGGCTGGCTAGCGGCGAAGGTGTGTGGCAGGGTCATTGTGCTGCGGCGCATCAAATGTTCACAGGAGCGCGGCGTGTGTGACCCCAAGAATGTCAGGAATGATAAGCGCGAGAGAAGCAGGTGATGGTGACCTTGAGAATGGTGGTTTAGAACTGATTTATTGTGAGGTCCGATGTGTCTAGCTCATGGTCAAGCATTGTGTCGTATGTTCATTGCCATATGCCGAAAACGTAATAAAGTCAAACTTTTCTAAGGTGTTGTTTGTAACGTAAAATACACTTTGCATGTGTACAAATTGCAGAAAATAAAACTTAAACTTGATTGAAGTCCCAAAGTAGTCGGCTTTTCACGGACCCACGGATACGCTTCAGTACTGTCATAAGCATCAAAAGCAGCGGCAGCGAGAATGATCACTTTCCATTTGTGTAATGGTGGGATGATGTTTCCTGACCAGACGTTTTCCGGAAACGATTGTCCAAAGTTCAATCGAAACCACGAGGACGGATCAGCTGTCCGTCCAACAGTGTCCAAAAATCAGACTGCCAAGTAAAATTCCATGTATCAAATACCGTTGCTCATTGCAGCCCATAACTACACCTTCTCCCAAACCACGGTACTGCACTTCCTCATCCTTAACAAATTTTTAAAAGGAAAGCAGCATGCTCGTGGGCAACTAAGGGGAATCATGTACTTCGGGGCAACATTAATATCTTGCAGGTTTCACTGCCATTAGGACAGCAATCTAAAGCTGCCACATTCTACGCCTTTTAACTCCAAAGGCCTTGCATACAAAATTTGGAGGCAGTCGAGACGCCCCGCAATATCACATTGGGATGTTACGCAGCGTATAACTCGAAAATTACGCAAAATTCCACCCCAAAGGCAGCAATTTTCGGAATCAGTGTGTTGAGAAGGCCCTGCACACCAAATTTGGAGGCAATCGAGACGCCCCGCAATATCACATTGGGATGTTACGCAGCGTATAACGCGAAAATTACGCAAAATTCCACCCCAAAGGCAGTGATTTTCGGCATCAGCGTGTTGAGAACGCCCTGCACTCTAAATCTGGAGGCAATCGAGGCGCCCCGCAATATCACATGGGGATGTTACGCAGCGTATAACTCGAACATTACGCAAAGTTCCACCCCAAAGGCATCGATTTTCGAAATCAGCGTGTTGAGAAGGCCCTGCACACCAAATTTGGAGGCAATCGAGACGCCCCGCAATGTCACACTGGGATGTTACGCAGCATATAACTACAAAATTACGCAAAATTCCAACCCAAAGGCAGTGTTTTTCGGAATCAGCGTGTTGAGAAGGCCATGCACACCAAATTTGGAGGCAATCGAGACGCCCCGCAATATCACATTGGGATGCTACGCAGCACATAACTCGAAAATTACGCAAAATTCCACCCCAAAGGCAATGATTTTCGGAATCAGCGTGTTGAGAAGGCATTGCACACCAAATTTCAAGGCAATCGAGACGCCCGCAATATCCAACTGGCTTCACGCTGAGCACCAACACGCGCCACATATAGCGTCAGATATGTGCGGCGCTCGCTCCGAATGGCGCTGAAAAAACGACTGCTCAGGGAGACAGGCGGTAAAGGTTAAAATCGCTCGGAAACCTGCACGAGACAGACCTTTATAGAATTTAACTCTGTCTGACCGGGTGACACCTTCTGGCCACTAGTGGTTGTCTCCTTACTGATGGCGAAAGCAATACTAAATTCAACGTCGTCGTGTACGATGGCATTGTTGTCGTCCGTAACACCACGGCGAAATTGTTTTATCGTTGAAAAATGGAAAACCAACCTAGCAAGAAAACAGTTACAGTTTGTACGGGTGGCTCCTGGGGAGTTTGATCCTCATATTTTCTGTCTCCCACCCTGGTAGTCAAGTGAGCAGGTTTTTTCACCCCTGCCTCAACACCCCATATTTTGCTGTATTGTAACACACACCGCAATAAATAAGCATTCGCTGCCATAGCACAGTATCACGGGCACGCAGCTTCACATCAAATGGAGAACGGTCATGGGGAAAACCAATAATCATTCCGTCGTTTAGTTGTAGCGGGGCCTGTAGCCGACGATGACGCGCTCATACTGAGGCTGGGGCGGGTAGTAAGCGCGGGGAGCCTCATCATCGTCATCATCATCGCCCAGGCGCCTCGTATCCCTCCTCCTCATCATCAGACACCTCCGGGGTGGGGTAATCGGTGGGCACGGGGGTGGGCAGGTGGTTACCCTGGGGCTGGAAGCCGTTGGCGTCGGCCACGTAGACGACCCTGAAAACAACACCGTCGGGGACGGTGCAGCTGAACTTGCCGTTGACGCCATAGCTCTCCTCATCGCCGTATCCCTCCACCGGCCTGCCAGACTCGGATGCGTAGATGCCGTTCTCAGTCTCAAAGCTGCGAGATGCATGTGTGGCAAACATTGTTTAAAGTCTATGCATACTGCGCCAATGTTTTCTGCATAACTAGCGCTAGAGAGCGATGGACTTTGAAAAAGGAAGGAAGTCTAAAATACATCAAGGACTTAAAACTGACAGCTACAAAATATCGGAATGGGTGGCAGTAAATCATTACTCACTGCGAATCGTAGGATTGGTCGTCACGAAGGTCAGCCTCCTGCTTCAAAATCTCGTACACCTTGGGGGCGTAGGTAGGAGCACCACGGATACGGTCGGGGGCGGCAGCAGCCACGGCCACAACGGCGCCGAACACAATCTGAAAGTGGTGTCACAATTAGCCCTTTTCATTGCGCTCAGTGCGTCGTTGGATTGCTGACCCCGTACTCATGCTGCAGAAAGTGGCAGCTTGAAACTTAATGAGAAGGTCCGCATGAATTGCACAATGTGTCTCCCTACAATTTGTCGTACAAGCTTCATAGTTGTGTGTGTGGGACTGGTCTGTCTGTCGACTGATGACTCTTGTTCGCACTCAGTCGCATTTTTACCGGGCCAGTTCGTCACCGCTTAAAACTGACAGCTAAAACAAACCCCCGACGTCACCAGACTCAGCAGGACTGGTAATGGACCATGCCCCTTCATTCTGAAATGAGAAAATCGCGTTTAGAAAACTTCATATTTTTTCGAAAAAAATTGCCCTCAATTCGGTCAGCACACGGTGATCAACAATGTAGTCAACAAGGGGTAACATCGGTTTATATCGTTTGCAAGTCAAAGCACCCTTCTATTTTCATTGGTTTATTAGATATGAGTTTGGAATATCTTACTATCCAAAAAACAGCTGTTTTCAAATTCTGCACAGGTGTTGCGTGACACTGGAATTGTCGTAAAATTGCCTTTCCATGCAATGGTGTGACATAAACTGTCCAGTGCCAGGAGGTTTTCAGTTAGGTACAGCCAACGCGAAATTTGGTTGAAAAATGGCCACCTCGTCAAAAACGCGTCAACTTGCACTGAACATGCAACCGAGTTGTGCTCGTGCTGAATTTCCCACTGGGCCTCATATGGGACGAAAAAACCTTCGGTGCTGAAATTTGTCCTTTTTCGCATCAAAGTGGCCGCGGCGAGATTTGTGATCACTTGGATGTTCACAACTACGCCACTGAATGTTGATTCCACCATTGTGTATCGTTTGCATTGGCAATCTGCTTTCAAACGGAGCGTCCCTAAGAAACAAAACCATGGAAATTTGCGTGCATCAAGAACGCTGTATGTTTCCAGCCACGCACTAGTCTTTGATTATATGTCATTCGACGCGCAATCGCACGACAAACACGATGGTATCACCTAAAAAATTAACGCATGTATAGTTTTTAGCTTATTTGAAAAACTCGCAAACGGCGCTCGACGTAGGTTTTGTCATTGCTGCAGAAACTGTTTGCATGCACAGAAACACTTCCCGCTGCATTTACACACCAAATGGACCATGCCCTTTCGTTCTAAACAGAAAAATCACGTTTGGAAAATTTTCATTTTTTTCGGAAAAATGCCCCCCCCCCAAATATTTCCGGTCAGCACCCGGTGATCAAAAATGTAGTCAACAAGTGGTAACATCGGTTAACATCTTTTGCAAGTCAAGGGAGACTTCTACTTACCTTGCTTCGTTAGATATGACTGGAACATTTTACTACCCCAAAAAACGGCCCTTTTCAACTTCTGCACAGGTGTTGCGTTACACCGGTCTTGACGCAAAATTACCTAGCCATGCTTTGGTGTGACATTAACTGTTCAGTGCCGGTAGGCTTTCAGTTAGGTACAACCGACGTGAAGTTTAGTTGAAAAATGGCCGTCTCGTGAAAAACACGTCAACCGGCACTGAACGTGCACCAGATTTGCACTCGTGCTGAATTTCATCTTCGCCCTCATATGAGACGAAAAGGCGTCCGTTTCTGAAATTTGTCTTTTTTCCCCACCAAAGTGGCCGCGACGAGATTTGCGGCCTCTTGGATTCTAACAACAACGCCACTGAATGTTTATTCCACCATTGTGTATCGTTTGCACCGGCAATCTGC